ATCATCATCATCATTATCATTATTATCATTATCATTATTATCATCATTATTATTATCATCATTATCATTATTATTATCATTATTATTATCATTATTATTATTATTATTATTATTATTATTATTATTATTATTATTATTATTATTATTATTATTATTATTATTATTATTATTATTATTATTATTATTATTATTATTATTATTATTATTATTATTATTATTATTATTATTATTATTATTATATTATTATTATTATTATTATCATTATCATTATTATTATATATTATTATTATTATTATTATCATTATCATTATTATATATTATTATTATTATTATTATTATTATTATTATTATTATTATTATCATTATCATTATTATTATATATTATTATTATTATTATCATTATCATTTATTATTATTATATATATATTATTATTATTATTATTATATATTATATATTATTATTATTATTATAATTATTATTATTATTATATATTATATATTATTATTATTATTATCATTATCATTATTATTATATATTATTATTATTATTATTATTATATATTATATATTAATATTATTATTATTATTATATATTATTATTATTATTATTATTATTATATATTATATTATTATTGTTATTATTATTATATATATTATTATATATTATTATTATTATTATTATTATATATTATTATTATTATTATTATTATTTTTTTATTATTATTATTATTATTATTATTATATATTATTATTATTATTATTATTATTATTATTATTATTATTATTATTATATATTAGTATTATTATTATTATTATATATTATTATTATTATTATTATTATTATTATTATTATTATATATTATTATTATTATATATTCTATTTTATTAAAAAAAATAAAAATAGAAAGAAGAGGGATAGATGCAGTAACATGAAACAGAAAAGGACATAACTTTTTCTCAATCGCGATTCTTTTTCAAACGCTTCTCACATAAGCGCTTCTCTAAACGCTTCTCACATAAGCGTTTCTTCAAACGTGCTTTGTTTTCAAACGCGATTCTCACGGAAGGCCTCGAACGCGAAAGTGATTTTTCCCAAACGCGATTTTGCAGCTGGACAGCTTCTTCGCAAACCGAAACGCGATTCGTAATCTCACTGCATCGATTCAGTCGCGTTTTGGTTTTGGTTCAGAACTTCTTTGGTTCAGAATGCTTATGGTTTGGTGCATTTTTACGGTAAGTTTCACAGTTTCATGTTGATTACGATTTCAATTGGTTTCTCTGATTTTATGTTTCGGTATTGATTCCAAATTAAGTTATCACTAGCATACAACGTTCTGAAGCTAAAAGGAAGAATGTTTATGTGTTAAAAGTGCAGAAAAATACAGCTTTTGGCCTTGCCCACATGGTGTTCGATAAAACGCCTCAACCGTATCTCTTGATTCTTTTTGCTTCAATTCTTTCACTTCATGATGTTGAGTTGTTGTACTGCTGGTATTGTTGATTGATGATCATTTGCGGTGTGTCAATTGACAGAGAATTGTCGCTGTTACTACCGTTTTGCAACTCGCACGTCACATGGACCCAAAATTAAGGAAGATTTTACAGCTTTTGCGTTTGAGACAGGTAGAGATCAACTTGTTTTTTATTTGGTCACTCAATGAATTGCTTCCTGCATTTGACTTTGATCTTGATGAGTTATTATCCATTTTACTTTTCATTGAGAAAATTGTCAAAGTTCATATGTGTAACATTTAAAGTTTATATAGTTCCTTTGTTTCTTAAAGTTAAATGCACTCGTTCATGTGTGTATGATTTTACAACTTAGTTTTTTAAGTTGTATCTCTTTGGTCAATGGTGAATACCTTGGGGTCTAAATTTGTTTTGCTTATTTCTGTTATTTAGATTTAGAAGATACATGATTAGTTGAATTGAATATAGTTTAATATAATGTCTGAGATTGTAGGCATTGGACTGTGGTATCTTGTTTTATTATACCCATAATATGTGTTTTGTTTTTCTGTCTATTCTTGGATTTGCACGCCTTATAGCATTTACCTCAGAACTCTGTTTACCTCGTTTTCAGATCCATTCATAGAACTTTTTGTTTTAGCAGGAAGCATCGGTAACAAGAGCATTAGAGGATGGTATACATTCTATTTTTGAAATGAATACAAAGAAAGTAAAAATTCATATGCCTGCTCTTGAGGACCTACTAATAGTGAAATGTGATTTTTGGATGTAATATTTTTTAGTTTCCTTGTTTCATCGCCCCTGAAAACCATCAAAATTGAAAAGTGTGAAAAGTTAAAAGCTATTATGGCTAAAAGAGAAGAGAAAGAAGACATGATAAACTATTTTTCCTTCTCAAACATATAGATGAAAAGTGCTACATTCTTAAAGAAACTAGTTGTTGTTATGACTATGATCTCCCATTGTACACCGTTGAAGAGGACGAAATCCATAGTAAGATTCAGATTACCTTTCCTGAATTAAACAGGTTGGAGCTTGATCAAGTGCCGAAGCTAAAGTGTTTTTGTTCAGGAACATATGACTACAACTTCATGGTCTCGTCAATTAAAGAATCTTAAAAATATGGGAACATTTCCACATGGAAATATTATTGTAAACACACCAAACCTTCATGAAGTAGAATGGCTGCTTAATATGCACACACCTGGAGACTTTAATTTGACTTTATATTATCTTATAAATTCTGAGAAATTCAAGGTACGCATGCACACATGAAGTCTCCCAACTTAATCATTATAATTTATTTTGAATACATGCTTCATCACCTGCTTGTATGTTGTGTGCAGATGAAGTTGGGAAAATTAGAAACAGTTAGAGATATTGATGAAGAGCTTGTTGGCTACATCAAAAGAGATTTAGAGCTACAGATCACAAACAATCACAAGCTATTGAATTTCATCCCATCAATCATGATGCACATACTCTCGCACACAGAATCTCTCAACTTGATAGACTGTGGGTGCTTAGAAGAGATATTTGAATCAAATGACGATGGTATGCAATACCAATTAAACGTTATATACTTGGATTCTCTTCCAAGTTTGAAGCATATTTGGAAAAATCTTGGTCAGAGTTTAGCCTTTTAGAGAGTGGAATATATAAGCATCACACAATGCAATGCTTTGAAATATGTGTTTCAGGATGTTTCCGTAGCCACGAGCCTTCGCAATTGACTTCGATTGATGTGTCTAAATGTGATGAGATAGAGGCCATCATCGGGAATAATTGTAATCCTCTAAATTATGCACAACAACAACAGAAGGCTAAGAAGATGATATTCCCATTGTTATCCAGAATTGAACTAAAGAAGCTTTCGAGCCTCAAATATTTCTGCCGAAGCTCTTACCCTTCCTATGTTGAGCTTCCAAAATGGCAATACTCCACCATTCAAAACTGCCCAGAGAAGAAGACCTTTTGGTATGGTGGAATATTATACACACCAACTCTTATTACAATTACAATGGATAATGCCGAATGTCCCAAGGTTGAAGATGTGAATGAGGTTATAGAAGAATACAGTAAATTACAATGAAGGCAAATGATGGTATGAAATTGTAAGGTTAGTATATATGTGTATGCAAAGACTCTATCTAGTATCCACATTATTACTTTCTTTTTCACTCGGTGCAGGTTCTTAGTTTATAAGTTTATTTCAGGTATCCCAATCTGAAGAGTGTTAAGGAATTGATCTACAAGAGGGGCTATGGAAAGGTTGACAGGCAGAGAATTGCTTTGACCGACAACTCAATCATCGAACAGGTCTGTCTTTGAATTGGATTCCTTCCATCGCCTCAAAATTTCATAGTAGTCAAACTGCATTGTCGGGCCTACATGAGATTTGCCTCAAAATCTCACAGTAGTCAAACTGCATTGTCGGGCCTACACGTGAAACTACTTGACAGAAACAGATTTCAAGAAAATTGAGAATTTCTTAGATGTTTTGATTTGAGCTTATCATTTTCAACTTAGTAGAGTTAATTAAAGATAGCAAGGTACGTAGAAGTAATGACATCGATATCTCTAACAATGTGCTTTTAACATGTGTTTACCTATAAAATGTAAAATCTCGTTGTCTTGGTACTTAAAGAGAATAAGTTAAATGGTACTCTACCAAATAGTTTAGGACAACTTTCAAGGTGTCATACTTATATGTTTTTTCCAATCAGTGGACAAACATGATAATGGAATACCATTTTTCATTTTATAGAACAAAAATTATTTCTGATTGGCTTGACATAGTTGTTCGATTCAATTATCCGCGAATAATTTGATTTTGAATTGTAATTTAGGTTTTATGTATTTTAGGTACTGTGGAGTTATTCTCTTTGCATAAGTACGGGTACGGTATCCGGTGCGGGTACCGGTACTGCTACGGGATACAACATTTTCTAAAAGTTCAAGGTACGTTAATAAAAAGTAAAACTATTTTAGAAAACGTATGAGTATAGAACTAAATTGTTAAGTTCACAGCTTTGTAATCACTCTATTTGTAGTGCTAAGTCTTGAATATATCATATATGATGCGTGCATTGGCTTATTCTTGTTTAATTAACGGTAAGTATCATTTGATTTATTAAATATGCTTGCAAATTAAGCTCATTTAATTTTAATTATTACATGACTTTAATGATTTTATTTCTTCACTAGTTAGATATAAAAGTTGTATGCTGTTTCTCAAATAACTTGTATTAGTTGTTTTTTATAAGAAATTTAATATTTTTGTGTAATTAATTTTAATATCACGACAAGATTAGAATTATTAATAGAACAAAAATAAATTAAAAAACTACTTGTAACTTTTGGTGACAGCAAGAATGTAGGAAAATGGTTATTATTATTTTTACTATCTTACCCTGTTTTATCTACAGATAAACCGTCAGAAAAGGTCCTAAACTATTAGCTTCGGATTTTTGACATTTAGTGACGGTTTTTGTCTGTAACTACATGCCATTTTTCTTGTAGTGTAATGGATTATCATATTGGACTTTTGTGTCTGAATGGACTGTGATGGATTGGACCATTCAATTAAGTCCAATAAGAGGTCCATATCCTCATCCGTTTAACTATTTAAGCGTTGCTCCATTAAACGATTAACATACTCTGAAATCCTAAACGACAATGAGGATAGTAATCTCTCATACTCTCCGACGGTAATCTCTATAATCCTAAAAGGTAAACGACAATATATAGAATCTTACAAGGTACACCGTTCATATTATTCTTGATTATTCTTTGATATATAATGATAGGAGGTGCAATTAGATATTTTAACTTGTAATATAATTATGTTAGATGTTTATTTTGAATATTGTTGAATTGGGTTTTTCCTAGTGTTTGGACTTATAAGTTTATTATCCAATTAGAAGTATTATATATTGTAGTCTCATTTAGATATTATGTTATCAAGAAATCAAATAAAAAATTATTTTATTTCTTTTATTTTATTTAGTCAATTTAATGTTTTTCTCCTTTTAGTTTAGAAAATCCTAGTTCATAGATTAGATAGGAATCTTCCTATACTTTTTATCCATTGGTACTTTCATCCATGGACTCAAATCCTCCTATAGATTATCCTTATCATACATCTTCATATCATCCATAGAGCATTCCTCCTACCCATCCTACAAACTCCTCTTTTTCAACTCCTACCACCTTCATTTCCATCTTTTCCATGAAAATTTTTTACACCTTATTACACTCATGTTAGATCATCATCACCAAATTTGTATTTAACTCACGGGTATTCACCACACACACCTAATTCTAACTCATATTCATCATCTCATTATTCATATTATTACAATAATTATTATCAACAACTCCAACCAACAAACACATCTTCTACCATTGGCCATCAATATCAAACACATTTTAGAAATAGAAGAGATTTTGAGAAATATCTCCAAATATCTCATCCCTCTTTCAAAAAATCATCAAAAACACTCTTAACAAAAAATTCTCAAATCTATTCATTCTATCAAAAGTCCCCACGCCAGCTTTCACGAACACTGTCCCTTCTGTTTCCTCATACATTTCCAAGCCGCGATTTGTTAAAATCCACAAACACAACAATGCCTCCACCTTCAATCACGATGTTTCTGTCACCGATGCATCCGGAACCGATCAAATCATGGAAAACCCTCTTCCATCTCCTCCAAACCCTAACAATGCCCAACTTCCCACCGAAGTAAACGACGACATCGACGAACAAGTAGCTGAAGAAGAACATGACGACGAAGAGCAACGAGGAGAAGTCGAAACCCTAGAAAACCAAAACCAACAAGCCGTCGTGGAAGTTTCAAATCCAACTGCGGCTTCGACCGAGACTGTCAAAGCTAACAGTGTTGAGGAAATAGAAACTAACAATGAAGAAGAGGAAGATATCGATTTGGAAGACGAGCTTGTTAAGAAGCTTCTAGAGCCTTTCACGAAGGAGCAATTACACGCTCTCGTGAAGCAAGCGATTGAGAAGTATCCCGATCTATCGGAGAATGTTCATTCGCTGCCTGATGTAGACCCAACTCAAAGGAAAACTTTCATTCATGGACTTGGATGGGATGCAACTTCCAAAACCCTAACCAGAGTGTTTCACAAATACGATGAAATTGAAGACTGTAAGGCGGTTACTGATAAAACATCTGGAAAATTGAAGGGTTATGCTTTTATGATAAAGTGTTGTGTTTCATATGCAACGAGTGAGGTAGGGGTGTTCGCGGTGCGGTTTGGGCGGTTTTGAAGCAAAAAATCATCCGAACCGCAAGAGAAAAAAACATGCGGTTCGGTTTGGTTCGGTTGACTTTTAAAAATAAATTCGAACCAAATCAAACCAAACTAATGCGGTTTTGATTGGTTTGGTTGTTTCGGTTTTTTACAAAAATAATTATTATGTCATACATACAAATATATAAGAAAATATAAATTTATATTTAATTGTTCATACATTACCATAAAAAATTTATAATTGTCAAAATAAATTTATAATTTGATACATAAAATTGCGTATTATAATTTTATCTAAATCTAAATAATGATATCAACAAGATTGCATTCTTAAATAAATATTATACAAAGAATATGATAAAATATATTTTGTGAAAATAGTATTTATAAATGAATAATATTTTATTTTTTATGATTTGTAAATTAAAATGAATATAATACAAAGAATGATAAAATATACACATAATACATGTTGATTTCTCTAAAAAATTATAGAAATATATATATTGGTTAGTAAGATTTTATAACATAATGCGGTTTTGTTTGGTTTGGTTTGGTTTGTAAAATACAAACCGCAAACCGAATCGAACCATGCGGTTCCACGAGAAAATGACCCAAACACATCCGAACCAAATGCGGTTTTTTGCGGTTTCAGTTTGGTTCGGTTCGGTTTTACGGTTTTCTATTGGGCCGATTTGGTTTTGAACACCCCTAGAGTGAGGTATGATCTCCTACAAGGATGTGCTACAGAATGTTTGCAAAAAATTGGCCAGAGCGTTGTCGTCGCCTATTTACATCCTTTGACCCTATTATTCAACAATTAATAAATGAAGAGGATGGAGGAATCCACAAGCGACATGCTTCACCTTCCATTCGTGATAGAGGTACACTGTCTTTACCCAATCAAGCCTATGATTCGTCTAATCCACCTGGTTATGGAACATCTGTAATTGTTGCAATGGATAGAAATTCAAGTTTATCATCAGGGACATTTGTCTCCTCTGGTGTACTTCTTTCACAGGAAAAGTCACTTGGTAAGGATACAGACTGTAATTTGGAAAGTGTGCACGCAAGCAAACAGAAGGTCACTGCTATTGAAAGCATGCTTAGAGGCTTGAAAATATCTAATAAGCATAATTTACCGTCTCTCCAGTCATCAAGTTTGGATTTAGAAGTTGACCCTCCATCGTCTCGTGATCCATCTTTCCCAGCTGCTACTCTGCATCCAATGATTTGACAAGTTCTTCCACAATAGAACCCACTGCTTATGGTGTCTATAAAGGTAGTAACTGAAATGGTGGTTTGGGTTTGTCAGACATAATCACTCCAATTCAAGCTTCCAAAGATTCTTCCAAGTCATCATATCATAGTAATGTTGAAACTGAGCCATTACCATCATTATCCTCATATTCAAACTAGAAGACCTTATGAAAGATTGCATGAAAGAAATTCTATTGATGACATTAGTGACACTAGGGAGGCTAGGCGATTTATGAACCACAACAGTGATAAACAGTATTTGGATGCCACTTATAGAGATGGAAACTTTAGAGAATCACATAATAGTTATGTGTCTAATTTTCAGAGGCCACTAGTGAGAAAGAATGTAGTCGGACGTATGTCGACTAGCAGGAGTAGGAGTTTTGATGATAACCAGCTATCTCCTTGAGAGCTTCTCACTAAGGATATCATTCTCGCTGCACTCAATGGCTTCAACGGGACTGCTTTTGCTTATGGGAAGACAAGTAGTGGCAAGACTTTCACTATGAATGGTTGTGTACTATTTTCACCGATGTAGTTATAAAGGGTTTTACCCCAAGTATCGATCACGAGGATTGCGTAGGAAAATACAAGTTATTACACGAAGTCAATTAAACAAAAGAGCATAAGGGTGTTGTTTCAAATGATTAACGAAATAGATTAAAATACTAGGAATTAACTGAAATTAAAACTGAGCTTTTGATAATATGAAGATAATGCTAAGGTGGGGTGTGTGATTCATTCTCTAATTCCTCTGGATCAAGATCTCTTTAACAAGTTTATAGAATTCAATTATTTATTCTCAAGGATGCTTTTCCTAAGTCCTTAGTGAAAACCTTCTGGTTTAAAATCCGATTACCTAAGTCCTTAGAGAAATAGAAGAAAACCAAATCATTCAATTATCAAGAATTTCTAAATAACCTTACTATATCCCTAATCCTAGGTGATAATTATAAGGTTCAATTGAATACAACCTTAACAATCGTAGTCCTACGAACTGTTAACCACATAACAATCCTTATTGATCAGATAAAAAAAGCATTAAAAACATTATACAATCGAATTGAATACTATAAACATTAAATCAATGAAATACCTAATCCAGAGTTATTACAGATCGAATCAGGGACACCCCCTAGCATTGGGGGTTTAGCCTCTCATAATATTCAAGAAACACAAGTGTAAAAGTTTAGACATTACAAATAATTGGGAGAACTCGGATCTTCAATGGTGTCCACCGTTGAATCTCTTCGTCTTCCAAAACCTCGTTTCCGTCCTCTTTTCTTCTCTGCAATTCTATCTTATGATCTCCAAAAGTCCCTTCTCTCTTGTTCTAAAGTTTTTTTTATATCCTCCTTCCATTCAGGTTGAAATCCTATGCCAAAAATACCCTTAATGATTCCCTTTGAGTGAGAAAACCTGGAAACAAATATTCAGCACGCGCTCATCAACACGGGCCGTGTTGCTGCACACGGGTGCCCGTGTTGATCTTCTGTTCTGGCAAAAAATAACACATTTCTAGGCACTTTCTCACACGGGCCGTGTCTGTGAACACGGGTGCTCGTGTGAACTCTCTGTTTCAGGTTCAAACTTGCTTTTCCAGCCACATTTCAACACGGGCCGTGTTGCTCCACACGGGTGCCCGTGTTGACCTCTGAACTCAGCTTTTCCCGGCTTCTTTTATCCACTTGTGCGCGCCACAAGTTCCTATCTTTCCATTGCATCACCTGGACAACAACACTACCAACCAGCGCATAAAAAGACACTTTTTGTAACACTCATAAAGTAAAAATATGCGACAACTTCACACAAACGAAAATAAGAAAACTTACTTTAAAACACATGCAAATGCCACTTAGTGTTACCAAGACTATGAGTTCTTGTCGGAAAAAGGTGCGAAACTTACTAGAAATGGTGACCGATCACAACCCCACACTTATCTCATTGCTTGTCCTCAAGTGATGTATCGAGACGAAACAAAGGTCACCGACGAGATTCTTTTTCTTCACAACACAATCAGGTTATTCGCAAAACACCTTCACTTATAAATCGAGTCTATGACATCCTTCGTCAATATATCGACCACATTATCACTTCCGAGCACTTGTTCACCTGCAAGCTTTTTCACAGTCTCACAAAATCTCTCCGGGTTAAAGTGTTTACACTCACAGTACCAAGGCATGCACATTACTTTTAACTTTGAAAACATTCTCGAATCACTACACACAAAGATTACACACACATTCAAGAGGTCTTTGGGTTGAAACATGGCTTGGGTTCGGTGGGGTAAACAAGAAATTGGATAACAAAGGGTTTTGGTGCTCGGCATTCATGTTGGTTTCACATATCTACTCTTAGTGGTTTGAATCGTAAGAATGGGGTTAAGACCTTCAACATCTTGTTTTTAGCTTTTTAGAGTCATTCATATGGTCTTTCGGACAAGTGGGCAAGTGTTGCGGAATTTTTCTTCGTTTTGTTTTTCAAACTTTCTCTTTGGATTTTCACAATTTTTTTTTCTTGCCCCTTTCTCAATGGTTCACAACCCCACACTTAGATTCTTTAGTGTATTTCAAGAGAATAACATTAATGCCGAGCGATAATATGAATAGTGAATATGTGGGTGGTAACAAAAATAACAACAATGAACAAAACAAAAATTACGGCTCAAAGGGGGTTGACTATGGACATAATGCATACAGGATGGCTAGAAAGGCTCGGGGCTACAGAAAGAAAATTGCCTCAGTGTGTGCTTTCGTACTGTGCTTGTGTTATGAGAACATACGCAAAATCAAAGTGAATAGTGCCATACCTGACTGATGTGGACTTATGAATTTGGCTCTGAAATCTCACCGGGTAGGTTAAGCTTACATGCTCCGAGGTGCTCTTGGTGTCATGCGGTTTCCTTTCATCTGAAATATATCATACTACTCTCTTGGTTCCGTGTTGATGCTTTGCGTCCTACCTTCTCCTCTTGATTGTGCCAACTTCCGTGGTGCCTGCGAAGATCAAGTATGGGGTGTGTTGTTCAACCACTAGCTATTTGTTTGCTCCCCTCCGATTTCTATCAATCACCTGGTAACACCATGACAGCACTGCACCATACAAACTTGAACAAAACCACTTTAAAAAAACAAAAGTAGTACAAACAAACCAAACAAACTAAACTATGAATTCAAAAACACAAAGCAAAGCAATAAAATAGAACCTCCCCCACACCTGAACCAAACATTGGCCTCAATGTTTTAATTCACATGTGATGGAGATTACCTGGCTTACTGATACTGCGGTGGAGGAGGAGGATCCTGTGGAAAGTGCAACATAAGACGTCGCATCATATCCTGGACATCGTCCACCACAGTTCCTTGTCGAAACAGCTCAACACTTTGTCTGGACTGCTCGGTACGGAGAGCAGTAATCTCTGTTTGTACCCACCCCCATTGATCTGGAGTCATGGAGGACGACCCAGCATTTTGTTGGCCGAACTGCTGAGGAGGTGGGACAAGGTGGTCCGGATCTGGAGTGTCATCCTCCATTTCGTCACCTGAAAAATTATGAGCATGTGGAGGGCTTTGCCCTATAGATGTACATGTAGCTACATATAACCAGTTAGCAGGATTTGCAATAGAAATACAATTGGGTGCGGGTAGTGACATAATATGTTGCTCATGACAAATCAGGGAGTAGTACCCCGGCTGAACCACAATCATCCTTTGATTAACAAGAGTTGTCATGTCAATCTTTTTACCCGGTATCGAG